AGGGTCAAGCCTCCTCTTGCCCTCCCTGCGCTACAGGCTCGGGGCCCATTGGGATGCACCGTCCTCCCTGCGGGGTGGACAGTAGATGTGCTGCAGATATTTAGAAGACCCGCCAGGGATAAAGGGAGCATTCGCTGCAGCTGGACCCCCATGCTCTTGTACAGGCTTGGGCTCCAGGAGCCACCTACGCTACAGACCGAGCCTCTTCTGCGGGCCATTGCTTCCCGCAGCAGGCACCGAAGATGGGGGACCACCATGGTCTGGGAACCCACCACCCAGCCTTGGAGCGGAGCCCTGCAGCCAGGAGAGAGCAGGGAAGCAGGCAGGCTCACTCCTGCCTCCCAGCCCCTGCTCGCCCCGTCCCTGAGGAGGGAGCTGGCTGCAGCATCTCAGTGTCACCAGCAGGAAGGACCAGCCTCTGAACAGAACCACCACCAGGACAAGACAAGATGGAAGTGCCAAAATGTGCACACACACACACACACACACGCGCACAGGGGCGAGAGAGCAGGAGAGACGCACACTTACTGGAACTGCTCTCGCTGTCACTGGTGTTTGATGTCACGCCCTCTGCAAAGCAACCAGAGAGACCCCCTTCAGAAGGAGCAGGGGAGGAAGGCACAGGGGCACCCCGCCTGTCACCCAGCACTACTGACCCAGGGCAGGGCAGCACCGGCCTCCCGAAAAACCCGCGCCCCAGCACCCACAGGGACGAGCCTACCCTTTGCTGGGAAACCGGGGACATGCAGGGGGACGCATGGCTACTCTGGGAGAAGGCAGGGATGCCAGGAGGGGGCTGCCTGGCAGGCGTGGGCAGGCATGAGAAGGTGCTGGGCTTCCCAGGCTGAGGGAGGGAAGGTGGAGAGCATGGGGGGGGGAGGGTGCTGGCAGGGGGAGTGGGTGCAGCATGCACACAGGGGGCAGGGGAGGGCATGGCTCCACACCGGCACAGGGACGGGGGAGCCTACCTCTGGGGATGGGACTCACAGAGACAAGACAGTGACAGGATGGGACAGAGTTTGGGGCTTTGCTTGCTCAGGCTGATCCCAGTGCTGCGACCACCCCACAGAGGCTTGCTGGCCGCTGCCTGCTCCCAATTGGACTCTGCACTGGTCGGGGGGGTGCGGAGCTTGGCAGGGGACTCACACCCAGCTGGGAGGGCTGAGGGGCTCTAGCCATCATTGTTTTGAGCTCTGGGTACATGGTGCCCCAGAGGAAGGTGGCAACACTTCAAAACGCTGTCACCCGCCCCACTCAGAGGGGATCTGTTGCGGTCACGGCCACCTCCCACCCACACTGGCAGTGGCTCCGAGTCTCTGAGTGCTAAACCAGCAGCCAGCCCAGCTAGGAGCAGGAGGAAGAGGAGGATGAAGAGATACAGCTCACCCTGGGTGCAGCAGGCAGCCCTCAGCTGGATGCGCTTAGGGCACAGCCAATATCCCCAAGCAAACTCCCCTGTCCCCTCCCACGTGCAGCAGCAGCACCTCCTGAAGCCCAGCAGCCTCTGCCAGCAGACGTGGCATTCCCCAGCAGAGGAGCAGCGCCCGCAGGGCTCCTCCTTCCCCACACCCAGAGAAGCGCAGCTGCCCCGGCCGGAGCCCGGCTGTTCCCCAGGCATCACCAGGCATGCCAGCGATGGAAAGTGAATGATGCACATTGGAATTCAACTTACTCAGGTTCTTTGCTCCATAATAATCGTCACTTAACCCAGGGAAGTCCTGATTTCACAGACAGCGAGAGGGGGGAAGAGGGGGAGAGAAGAGAGTGCGGGAGAGGGCAGTCAGAGGGATGGGGGAGACAGAGCCAGACCAGCATTAGTGACAGGAGTGCAGAACGGCCCAGAGCTGCAACTGCAAGTGAGGTTAAATGTTTTCAGAGCTGACACCATCAGCCCGCTGCCAACGTCTCGCCTTGTGTGGCTGGCCCCCCCACCGAGCTCATCCTCTCTGCCAAAGAGCCCCCAAGGGCCACCCTGGGTCTGGGGAGGGCAGGGCAGCCACGGCAGCATCTGCTGGCACGGAGCGGTTGCAGCCCTGAGCTGCTGGCAAGCACAGCCATGGTGTTTCTCCATGATGCCTCATGGGGAGCACTGGCAGGGCGCAGAGGCTCTGCGCTCTCCTGGAACAGCCTGGCTGCTCTGGGGGCAGGCGCAGCACAGCCAGTCCTCTAACACACGGCAGGGGGGCACGTTTTTCCCCATCTGCGTTCGTTACCTGCCCATGCCCCAGTGCTTGCATGGGTTGTGGAAACATGGGGGAAGGACACCCCACTGCAAGCTGGGATGGACAGGGGCAGAGCATGGGGAGGGAGCTGGCTGCAAGTCTATGACATGGGCTGGCAAAGAGCATTGCCTGCCTTGTGCTGTACGTCACTGCAATGCAGGGATCGCTGAGAGCAGCGCCCCAGCGAGTCCCCAGCTCCAGCATGGAGCTGACTGGAGCCCAGCCATGTCCAGGCACTACGAGAGAGACCCAGACACACAGACTTAACCTTCACCGCAGGCCAGAGGCTTGCGCTGGCTGCTAAGCTCACTGGAAGCTGGTGCCAGCCTGACACGGGCAGCAGAGGGATGCGGGCAGCCCCCAGAACAGCTCAGCATCAACCTCCTGCTTCTGCATCACACCCAGAAGAGCCATCGGAGGGGAGGGGACGTGCTCGCTGCACTGGCACCAGGGCAGAGACACTGCTCTGCCTTGCCCACCTCCTCTTCCCTGAGGTGCAAGGACCACGGCTCTCTGTCTGGACGCTTGCTGAAGGAGTGGATGCAGTTTGCCATCTGGAAGGAGGAGGGGCTGGGTTTGGCAAGCAGCTCCAGTGCTGCCCACATCAGGATTTGGGGCAACAAGCTGAATTCCCTGCCTTCGCTGGGAGCCCCAGGGTGCTGCCAGGTGAGAGCTGGGGACCCTCCCAGTGTCTGCAGCCAGCTACCAAAGATGTGCCTCAGTCGTGGTTGGGCAGCTCCTCCACCAGCGAGGGCATGGCTCCCTCGTGCCCACAGGGTTTAACCCATGGGAAGGGCTCTCAGAAGAGAATACGTAGCTGCGAGTCACTTCTAGGGGAGATGGGGAGCGCAGCTGGGACCTCGCCAGCCCCTCAGCCCTGACGGGGACAGAAGAAGCTCTGCAGGAGGCGGCCAGCCCCTCGCTTGGAGGGGAGCAGCCCTTGGCAGGCAAAGGGAGCAGAGCCCACAGCAGAGGGGGGAGAGCAGGGGGAGGCAGAGCAGGGGGTCGGGCGGGTGTAAAGTTGGATGAAAGGATGAAGACATTGAACATGAGAGAGAGAGAGAAAGAGAGCACCAGCCCGCAGCCGTTGCTTCCGTTTCAAGCTCTGGTTTCTCCCTAGCTGCTGGCACGACTGTGGAGCACAGACCCAAACATGGGCAGATGCCAGGACCCCTGGCTACGGAAACGTGCCGAATCTCTCCCCCCAAGGCAGGGGACCTGCGGGTTGCACGCTTGCCCTCTCTGGCCAGCTGCTACTTACGTTCCTGTCCGCTGCTCTCCTGGGCCAGGTTCTCTTTGCTCTTGTAAAATGGAAACTTTCGAGAGAGGCGGAAACTCTTTTTATGTTTCGTTTTGATCGACTGAAGAACATGGAGATGGAAGGGAGGACAGAAAAAACAATGGTGTTTAACACATGTGGGAAAAATTAAAATGAAGAGACAATGAGGAGCTGTGTCAGGGCAATTACCCTCAAATGAAATTATGGAGATTACATGAAAACTGTAATGCAGGAAAAAAAATTAAGCATGGAGAAAAACATGTGGTAGGGATGCTGGGAAGCTGACAGGGCAATCAGCAGCTCTGCAGGGGTAGCCAGGCGTTCTCCCTTCCTTATCTGCTCACTAAGCGCTCCGCGTGAGGGTAGAGAGCAGCTACCTTCACCTGCATGAGCTGCCTGCAGTCAGCTCACAGCCACGGGCCGCGGTGGGACAGGCTCTGCTCCCCATCACTCCAACAGGGGTCCTTCCCCAGCGCTTTCGCACCATCCTGGGCTCCTCTGCTTACCCCCTGCACAGTCACAGATGATTCCTGCCGAGCAGATGCAGGCCTGGGGCAGGTCCAGTCACACTGGTCTTTGCTTTGGGATTGCTCCAGCTGCCCCACCGGGAGCCCTGGCTGCTGGGACTCATCCTGCCCCCACTAGCTACCGGCTCCGGGCACCCCACTGAGCCCCACCTTGGCACCTACCCTGTTGGACTCAATCATGCCAGTCCTGGCGTGGAATTTCACCGTTTTCAACCGTGCTCGCTCCTTCTTTTCCACCCTGATCGGAAGTTAAAGGGGAGAAAGAGCCGCTAGTCCCGTGCATGCAGCCTCCGCGCCGCCCGCTTGGCTCCCCAGGCAGCTCCGCACACCCTCGGGTGGTGGCCCTGTTGGTGAAGGGCAGCTCCTTCCCAGAGAGGGATGGAGGTGGAGCTGCCTGCCTGGGGTCTGGCCAAGGCCAGTGTCTACAGGAGCAGGAGAGGGGACAAGCCAGCCTTCCTGGGAAGGGAGGGATGGAAGACAGATGTGGCTGGCTCTGCAGACCTGAAGGCAGTGGCATCCAGCTCTTTTGCTCCCTGCGACTTCCCATCCCATGGGACCTGGCTCGCAGAGCTGGGCAGGTTGTCAGAGGACACAAGGAGCAGCCCACAGTCACTGCTGTGACTCTGTTCTCACTTGGAGCCCCAGACTGGCTAACACCAGCTCTCCATCCCCACAGGGACCACAGAGGGGGCTGAGCACTCCCCTCCTCACCTGGAGTCTCACCCAGCTTTGGAGAACATCTCCCCAGGGAGACCTGCACGCAGCCCCAGCTTGCAACCGGGGTGCCCTTCACCCTGCACAGCCACGGAGGGGCAGGTGGGCTGGGACCACAAGGAGATCCCACCCTGAGCAGACCCCCGAGGGCTGCAGGGCTCGTGGAGGCTGGGGAGCTCTAGGAGACACCATATGTGACAGCTCCTGCTGATGGACACTCACCTTTTCTTGCTGGGGATGACCCCAATCTGCTCGCTCTCGCCGTGGGGTGTGACAAGCCTGGCTTGCCACCACTCATCATCGGAGGCGTTGATGACATGCAGGATGTCCCCATAGGAGAAGCTGAGCCCCTGGCTGGGCAAGCAACTGTCCCGGGTCCGGTCGTAGTCAAACAGGGCTCTGCAGAGGAGCAGAGAGAGGAGCGATGCCTTCCCCAAGCACGGCCAGGCAGCAAGGGCAGCAGCGCTACCGACCTTCCGGGGCACTGCCACCTTCATACCTTAAAGGATTTAAACCCAAACTTTGGGGAAGTCTTCTGCCGAGGCGAGCGGTGCTGTGCAGCCACCAGCACACCCCTCCTGCTGGCAGGATCAGCACAAGCCCCAAAGCATGCAACACAGGAATAACAGTGCTGGACCAGAACAACCCACTCTTGACCTTAGCTGTGAGAGCCACGCAAACCACAGACGCATTGAAGGCGGCTGTGGTTAGCGAGCAGGCAAAGCTCACATGGCCTCAAGAAAGCAGCAGCGTGCAGGAGGGCAGCGGGGAGCGGGGCTGCTCCCCACCATGGGGAGCCAAGGAGCGGGATGGGAAACATCAGACCCCACTGCTGGTGGGTGGTCGCACAGGCAGAGACCACGGGGCGCTTTAAGCACGCACTTTATTTATGTACAGGGGTACATTAGTCCAGAGTCTGTGAATTAGGAACATATCTGAGGGTATATGTATCTGCTTCCACAAGTGATCCTTTTCAGACTCCTAAATACTTCCCCTGAGAACAGTTTATTTAGTTTAAAATTATCTTCAATATTAAACTAACCAGCTACAGAAAAGTTTGGTTTTTTTTTTTTTAAACTAGAGGAGCACTAACACCCTTCCTGCGCTCACATCATCGCACACAGCACTGCAGCCCATACCCACAAGCTGCTCTCAGCGGCTTCACATGCAACTCGTTCTACTAATGTCAGATCTCAAACCGTGCCTGCTTTGATATATTCACTTTGCAACAAACCAAACCAAGGGAACAGTCACTAAAAGCACCACTACTGCCAACACAACCCCTGTGTTCACTCCTGGGATATCAGCCTCGCTCACCCCCCAGGCCAACACGAGCCCAGCACCGCAAACACTGGCTGGCTGCTGGTTTAATCCTGGCACTAACAAGCCTTCCTCAACTAGGAGAGACACCCTCTGCCCTGCTCATTACCCCCTTCCACTGCAGGGACTCCTAAGGGGGTCTGAAAGCACATGGTGCAAATGGGAGGGCCAAGAGACCATGTGGCAGGTCCCCGTGGAGCAGCAGAGCTGGGAGGGCACTTCTTCAGCCAGATCCCTGCTCCAGCACTGCCATGGGAGCGCCGGGCGATGAAACCTTTCAGGTCATTTGGGACTGGGTCAAGGCAGCCAGTCTCGAATGGGGAGGAGGAGAAGAGGGGCTGCCCCATGGCTCAGGGAGGGCTCTTTGGGACAAGACCCGATGCAGCCCTATGCATCCAGGTACATCCAGTCACCAGGTTGCTCCCCCTTTCTCAGTTTTCTCAGGGCTGGGGCAGCTCTCGTGCTCAGTCCCTCTGCACCCAAGCGCGGCCCCCAGCACGCTGGAGCCGGCAGCAAAGCACCACAGGGTGCTTTGGCCGGAGGCAAGCAAACCTCGCAGGCAGCTCCTGGCCAAAAGATAAAGCTGTGCATGGCCGGCAGGCCCCTCTGAGGCCAGCACTGTCAGGAGCGAAGCATGAACCAAGGCCCTGGGGAACTGGTCAGGCCGGTTCTTGAACCCAGGCGGGCTGCGGGGAGCCCTGCCCACACCCTGCACCCTGCCCTGCAGAGCAGCACTGGCCCCGCACCTCCCTGCCTCCTCCCACAGCAGCCACTGGCATCCCAGGGCAGGCACAGCAAGATTTATGCAAGGGCCAGACACCTGTGAAGCAGAGGCATGAGGCATTTGCTTCCCCAAGGCGCGATGCTCCTGGAGACCAGTCCCTAGCTGTGTTGGCACCCAGGACCCATTGTGGCTGGGTGCTCCCTGGGGCGCACAGGGTGCAGGGGCCAGATGGCAGCACGGGTGCTCTGCTCTGCCCCTGGGCTGGCTTGCGGCACAAGCAGCCAGGAGAGCAGATGGTTTGGCTGGAGGGCAGGGGAGCAGTGCCAGGGACTCGGCACGGCCTTCTGGTGCCCAGGCACAACGCCTGCCTGTCCCCCATGCCCGCCTGGCACGGCCCCAGTGCCGGCAGACTTTGCCCCGCGGCAGCGCAGGCAGGCGGCAGGCAGTATGCAAACCTGCCTCGCCCCTTGACCCTGCTGCACAGCTGCAGCTCTGAAACACGTGGTGAGCACTGGCACCCCCAAATCAGCTCCGGCAGGCACTTGGATGCCCAGCTCCAGCCCCATCAACAGCACGCGGGGTGCAATACAGCCTCACAGGGCTGACTCAAGCAGTTGGGTAGCAAGTCCTGTAATTGATGTCCTGTCCACAGTGCAGCAGCTCAGCTGGTTTCGGGTAAACTGTGCTCGAAACTACCCCGCCCAGAAGGGTTGGGGCAGCCCAGGTGCCTGGTGGCTCTCACAAGCACGTTTGTGGGATGTGTGGCCACCACAGCCAGGAAGGGTTGGGAAGGGCCATGCTGGGGGAAAAGCTCTCCCCTGGGATCACCCTCTCAGCAAGGCACTGCCCACCTCCCTTCTGAAGCCACCTGGGTGTATGTGAGGGGACACAGTGCTGCAGAGGCCACCAAAGCCACATGGAGGGATGCATCAAGAGATACAAGATACTACAAGCAGCCTGGAGGCAGCGGGGAGCTCTCTGGCTCGCAGGCATACCCCAATACGTGCAGCACCTATCCAGGCAGGGAACAGGAGACTCACAGGCTCAACACAAGCTGGACCCAGCCTAAACCCTGCTCCACCCACAAGGGTATCCATGGGACAGCAGGGGAGTGAGGGCAGGACTAGCAAGAACAGAACAGCACCCACCTCATTGCACACCGCCAGCACAGAGCCCCAAGATGCTAAATCAAGCAAGATGCCTGCAGAGCCTCACAGGAAGGTGTGAATTGCAGGAACCCAGAGCTGCAGCTCTCCCCTCCTGCCAGGCCATGCTTGCACCGGGTCCAGCAACAGCTTGAAGCCCTCCTGCATGGAGCAGCCATGCAGTGGGAGATGCAGGCTGAGGCTGATGCAGGCTTGGCCCTTGTCATCCTTCCCACAGGGAAGAAGCAGCATCCCTTGCTCCTGCCAGCCCCCACCTGCAACAGGCTGTGCAGGGCGAGAATCTACAGGATTATTTTAATTACCAAGTTAATATTACTCATTAGCTGTCACCCCACTCGTGCTGTGGCAGGCAGGAGGTGGCAGGAGGCAGGCAGCGAGCAGGGGCTGCCCTGGCAGCACAGGACTTGCAGCAGTTAGAGCTGCATGGCTGCTTAACCCCTGCCTGTCCCGTGCCTGGCTCCGGACCAAAAGCGCATCGAGGGCTCAGAGCAATAATCCTCCTAAGAGCTCATCTCCCCTCCAGCCAGATCCTGCCACAGGAATGGCGAGAGGAGATGGGGAGAAGCCTGTTAGCAGGGAGTGGTTCGAGGAGAGCGCCCTGAACGCTGCCCTGAGCAGAAGCGGCTCTGGATGCCTGGCATTTCCATTTCCCAGTGGGTCAGCCTGGCCAGCAGCTGCCCAGGGCTCTGTAGAGACACCAGTGCTTTCCAAAGCAGAGCAGCCCTTGGAAGAGGCACTTGAGTGCAGAGCACCCAACCTCAGCAAACCAGTTCAAAAGCACCCCTCTCCCTGCTGCACCCTCTGGGCTTCATGATGCATCTCTCACACTCACTTCCCTGGCCTCTGAAACACCCGTCCACAGAGGTGCTGCACAGCCCAGGCTGAACCATCCCACCCTGCATCCTGCATTGTGGGAATATAACCCATCCCACCCGCCTCCGGATGCCTGGAGCAAGAGGACAGGCAGGGGGGGCTGAGCCTTACCGGACATAGAGCGATCTCTTCTCACTTGTCCGGAGCGAGCCGGAGCCGGAGCTCATGCTGCTGTTCATCATCTGCTCTCTCAGATCGTGGATCTTTGACTCGAAGCGGCTGTACTCTGCAGGGAGAGAGGTGGTCAGTGCAGGCAGGAGCTGCCCCCAAGCCACCACCCAGCACCGAGCAGGGCGCAACTGGTAAGCGCCGAGAGAGGCAGTGACTGCTTGTCCGTGGGGCATCTTGCCCATGAGCCCGTCTGTCCCCGCACACGAGGGAGGACGAAGCCGAAGAGGCTGCAGCACCCTGTGGGAGTCCAAGCAGGGCATCCGGAACAGGCAGAGCACTGGCTGCTCCCAAACCCACCCCAAACCCTCGCACAGGCAGCTTGGGAAAGGGCTGCTGAGACCTCCACCACTACTGAGCTGCAGCTCAGCGAGGGAACGGCTGGGCAGGGCTCAGCAAGCCTCTGACCTACAGAGCAGTTCAAAATGTGCAGAGAAAGAGAGCCCCTCCAGGAGACCGTCACTCACCAGCTGGAGCAGCAAGGCACGACTGCAGCTATCGGGGGTCCCCACCCACCGCTCTGCTGGCAGCAGAGCCCCTCTCCCCAGCAGGCACGGGGAAAGGGGAGGCAAAGCATGGTCCCCGCCCATGGAAGGGGAGCGGAGAGGAGGAATTCACCTTTCGCTCATACATCCCGGCAGCAGAGACCCACAGGAGGAGCCGGGGGACCCTCCAGAAGCCGCCACCGCCACCTCCCTGCTGGGCGGCTGGATGGGAGCAGCCACCACCCCGGCGCCTGCCGCCGTGCCAGCTCGACCTTCAGCCGGGTGTAAAGGTCGGGCCAGCAAGCAGAGGGTGGAGGCACCAGCCCTGCTTACCCAGGGCCGACCGGGGAATGTTTGCCAGGCAGCAAGCAACTGCAGCACCAGGAAAGCTGCTGGCACTGCCACAGCCCACCCTGGCAGTTCTCACCCAGTACCATCGATTTTGTCCCCTGGGCACACTCAGCAGTTACATCCCCATGTCCCAGCAAGAGGAGACCAGTCTCATCTCTGCTGTAAGACTTGTCTAGAAAGCCTTCTCCACAACCCAGCAGTTTAGATGTGGTTTGGGTTTTTGTTTTGTGAACCGGAGCATAGCAGCTCAGCAGCAGAGGCAAGCGCTTGCTGTAGAGCGGAGCCCCAGCTGTTTCGGGGGACTGTGCAGGCTGCTGCCTGGCCTGCAGAGCTGCATCACACAGGGTTAGCGGGAATGCACATGCTAAGCTTAGCACTGCTAAGAACGCTGCGGGCTGCGTTTGAGAGCCAGCCCCTCACCGTGCAAGGGGAGAGGCGACTCTCAGTGCAGATGAGCGTGGGGCTGGGGTTATGCAGTTGCAGCTCGGCATTTCCTGACTCTCCAGCCCTTCACTCTGCAGCCAGACCCGCCTGGGCATCCCCCTCCCGCACCCAGCTGCCAAAGATGCATTTTTACTTAAAGACTGAAAAAAAAAAAAAGGCGATACACACAAACTGCCAAGCAGCACACAGAAACTCCACATGAAGCCCCTTCCCCTGCCACGGGACATCAAGAGGTGCCTCATGCCAGGCAGGGTCAGCTGCTTAATGCGGAGGTCACTAGACCCCCGCTGACCCTGGCTGCCCCACACTGAGGGGCACCCACTGCCCCCACCTGCCTTCCTGCTAGCAGAGGGAAATGCAGAAGCAGCCAGGCATGGGCAAGGCTTATTTTATAAGAAAACTGAATTCTGACACCAAAGCAGCACTTTTGAACTCACCAACCTGCACCGAGGTTTTACGGAGCTCCCGGCAGAGGGAGGTGAGCTTCATCCCGCTCTGCACCTCTCACCCCACACTGGGGTGGGCCACAGTGTCTGCGGTGCAGCTCATTCTGCCACCAGATGCCCATGAGCTCTTATATCCCAGAGGAGTATCTGTCAGAAGCAGGTACAGCTGCTCCGTAAACCCTCTTTGGTACGGAAGGGCTATTTCCCCTGGACAGCTGCTGAGCTAGGCACTACAACCCCCGTCCCCAGCCGAGTCATCCCAAACCCCGCCAGTGGCACAGACTCTCTGCATACCCCGCACCAAGAGGACCACTGCTCCCTGCCATGTGGGCTCCCGCCCGTGACACCCTTCGCCACAAGAAGCCCAGTGTGGAGGATGCACTGCTCAGGATCGGGCAGGCAGCAAAGGACAAAAGCAGGTTTAGCTGTCACTGGCATCAGGGCGGGGATGTTGGGAGGGCAACCTTTGGGTGCCACCGCCCTGCCAGCACCTGCGTCCCCTGCATGCAACCCAAGGGCACAGCTCTCAAACACCCCCACCTCAGCCAGGGCACTCCATGGAAAGGGACCTTCCAGATTTTGCTGGAGCAGCCATGCTGCTTGGAGGGACCGGGAAAAGCCTGCCAGCACAACAAGAAGCACAAGCCAGGCTGGATGCAGCAAACTGAAGAAGGACACAAGGGCTGCTCTGGCTTTATCCCCCAGAGAGCATACACAATGACATCCTAGGAAGGGTCTCCCAAGGAGCCACCAACCTGTGCTTGCTCTGACTGCAGGAGGGCGCAGGCCGGAGGAGCAGTCAGCCCCAAAAGCAAACCTGCCACCTCCCTCCCAGCGCAGGGGAGGCAAGGTTACCCCGGGAGTGACCACAGCATGCTCCCAGCTGCCACCGGCCCCCCCTTATCTGCGTGCTGGAGCAGCCTCCGAGACAATTACCAGCAGATAATCCCCAGCAAGCAGTGCTCCTGCCTTTGCTCCCTGGCTCACAGCCACTTTGCCTCCACATCCTGGAAGGAGATCTCCCGCGCAGCCGAAACTCGCCCGGGAAGCTTGCCCATGGCATGGCGGGGAGGTGAGCCATGGCTGATCCCCACCTCCCTGGCATTCCCACAGGACTCAGGTGCCGGACATGTTCAGGACACACTTATCGAGACTGAAAAATATGCAACAGGTGACCTGGCGCCTCTTGCTGTGAGTGCCACTGCAGCACTGCACCACGCGCCAGAAGGGGCAGGACGTTTGCTATTCCCACTCAGCAACTCGATAAAAACACCACTCCACCCTCCTGCTGCTCTTCCCTTCCCAGGGTGCGGGTGCCCTTGGAGCTGGGCCCGATCCTACACCGGGGGGTGAGCTCGGCACCAGGAGCAGGATACGGCCCTGCATGCCCAAGCGTGCGCAGATCGCAGACCATTAAGATCAGGCAGGGATTACCTGCCTGCACCGAGGATCCCCAGCACTGGCACACGCTTGTGTGGTGCAGCTGCAAATATACCCGGCGAAGCCATCAAGTCAGCGGGTCTGCAGTTGATTTCTGGACACCAGGAGACAGTGCAAGGGCAGAAGGCGCTGGTAGAGAGGGGAGCTGCATCAGAAAGCAACCCTCCAGCATGCATAAAGCCTTGTGCACGTGCCCTGCTCTCTGGCACGCAAACCTGCCTGCCGAGGGCCAGGCCAGCTCCGCTGGGCCATCAGCAGAGCCCTGGGATACTCGGCCACAAGCTCCAGTCCAGACACCTGCAAAAACTACCCCCAGCTCCATCATTCCCCTCCAGCCCAGCATTTTATTGCCCTGACCCCGCACACCTTCCAGCTGCGGGGTTAAAGTACAGACACCTCCCTGCACAGGGCACACATGCCGCAGGCTCAGGCAAGCGGAGGGGAGCACAGCCATGGGGAAAACTTGGAGGCTTTTAAAAGTCACCCTGCGGCCCTGGCACTTCCCTTTGAGTGGCCAGCTCAGAGAAATGCAGTCACGTGAGTTTTTGTATTTTCAGGTGAGGAATATCAAGGCTTTGTTGCATGGGGCATGAGGAGGGGGAATCACCAAACCCAAGTGCTGGTGATAGCGGCAGGCAAAGGTCAGGGGAAGAAGTGCTCAAAGGGAAGGGACCTCACAAACAGGCCAGAGGCACCATCACAGGGAGCAGCCTCCTCCTTCTCCTTGACGGCACGCAGCAGTGGCGAGAGGCGCTGCACCAGGCGCAGGTCCTCAGAAGAAAGGCATGACGGCAGCTCCTCTTTCTATCCTTCCCTGGTTTTGTCTTTGCTTCTTTCCACTCCTAGTGCCTGGCAGGACCCCACAGGGAGGGCACCTCATCCCCTGAGACCTGCGCAAGCAGCCTCTCTGCTCCCTCAGAGGACCAGTGAGGTCAGATGCAGAGCATACATGCACTCATTCAGCACCCCATGGGCAAGCCCTGCCTGTGCTCACATACGAGAGACAGGTGCCATCCTCTGCTAGCAGGAAGGAACTTCTCAAAGCCCCTTTCCACTAGCATCTCCTCCTTTAGGCATCCTACAGTCCACCTCTCTGGCTCTTTCCACAGCCATGATGCACATAGAAAAGGCAAACATTTGGGAGCACACATGCCCCTCGAGGGGCATGTGTGAGGTGAGGTGAGCCTCACCTGCACCTGGGGCTCATGCCAGGGAGACCTTTCTCCTTGGCTCCCAGGCCTTCAAGCCTCCAGAGCGCTGAGGTCAACTCCCAAGATACAACAGTCTATGTTTCACAGCAGCAATGCTGCCTCCCAGGACAGCTGCAGCCAGTGTGCCGGGTGCTGCTGCCCGCACGTGCCAGGAGCCATCGTGGACCTGGAAAGCCACCAGGTACAAAGCACTGACATTTCAGCCTCGGTCTAAAGGGGTTTCAAAACATTTTGTCCTGCTTGACATTTAGGAACCACTCTTGGTTGGTGTCTTTGCCAAATCTCAAGTGGCAAAGGGAGCCAGAAATACAAGAACATTAAGTGCTTCCTGGAAAGAAAGAAAGCAAAAAAAAAAAAAGCCAAAACAAACAAACCCCACACCCACAGCACACCCCTGAGTGGCACTAACGGCTCTGTGCCCCAATGGCCTCTGCCACAGGACAGAGAAGGAACAGCAGGGACAGGGACCCCCAGGGCACGGCCCAGCTATGCCACCGAGGAGGCACAAGGCAAAGGGCAGGCGAGCGGCAGCACGCTGGCCTCAGCAGAGAGGACCCAGAGCCACTGGGGGAGAAAACCAGCGGGGCCCAGGAGAGACACCTTCACCAGGGGAAGTGAATTGCTGCATCCTGGCACTAGCACGGTGCCGCTCGGGACATGGTAACAGCACGGCAGCAGCCCCAGGAGCAGCTCCCGGCCCCTCGCCTGCCGGCGGGATGCCCTCCCCAGCGCTCGCCCTTCCAGCCCACAGGTGACGCTTCAGCCCTGCCAGCTGGGGAGGGTTTCGGTAGGCAGCTGCCAGCTCCCTTCCCGCAGCAGCCTGCCACTGGCTGGCCCCCGCAGGACACAGCC